TTACCCAAGCGCATGTGGAACATGGCAAGATTGTAAGCTGCATTGTGTACAAAGATCTTGGAGACCCCGGAGAGAACTCCATTCCCTCCATGCAGAAAGAAGAATGGTAGCTGCACCGTGGCTGTGTCTCCTCATCACCATTTGCACTACTAAAATAGCTTAGGGGCATTTGATTCCTGTTACCTCATTGGCTAAAACCTCTAGATCCTTTTCACAGGAACTGCTTCAGAGTAGATCTCCCCCTTCCTTACCCTGTGCGCTCGAACACTGAATCTTAGAGTAAGTGTGCATCTCCCTCTTCTCACTCATCTCAAAGGTTAATCCAGAATCAGCCTGAAATTCCAGTTCTTTTCTCCCCGACATGGATCACACTGGAGCTGATGCTTTCAGGTCTTCCTCCCTGTCCTGATAAATATTCAGTTCATTGTCTCCAGGCCTTCTTGTCCCCAACAAAAGCAAAACAGAGAAAAAGCCAAAATAACTTGTCTCCTCCTAGAGAAGGGAGCACATTCCCCAGGGGGCCAAGGCCGTGTGATGTTCACTTGGCTCCCTTTCTTCGAGAAACTCAGATGTCCAGGGCAAAAGGAGGAAGACCTCCTCTTCCCCAGGAGCAGGGAACCTTCCCCATGGCCAGAGTCCCTCCACTTCCCACAAAGTTCACCTCATCAGGATTGGGCCCTCCCACGTTCCCATCCCGTGCCCATGGCAGCTCTCCTCCATCCCCTGCTGTGGGTACACTGTGCACTCGGGCGAACACGCCCACTCTGGTGTCCTGGAGTTGTCCTCTCTCGCCAGAGTTCAGGGTTCTGCAACGCCCATGCTTCAGTGCCCACGGCTCCTGCTGTGTTGGGTTATCATCTGTAGCACTCGCGACAGGAGTGAGGCATGTCTCTCATGAGACCTCATGCTTTCATTCATGGGTATGTCCAGTGTTCTGTGTGGTTGTGCTAACAGTGTTGGTTTGATTTCCTTCCCTTGCTTTATAAAAATAAGGATGAAGCTTTGACAACAGCTGGAATTCATTCTACAGTTGAATTATTGAAAACTGAGAGAGTCTCTCACAAAATAATAGCCTTTCAGCCAGAATAATCTTACTCCATAATTCTTTGGCAAAACATAACATTTTTTAAGTGACTTCCAAAGACCTAGCCAGAGCTGGTTTGTATAAAAAGATAAAGTAGTCTCTGCACACATCGCTCACCAAACTCACCACCTTCTGTGGTTGGGGTTCCTCCTTCTGCAGTGAACGGATTGTTCTCTCTGCCCTTCTTACCTTACCACTGGAACGTTGCACTCTTCCCTTTTCTTATCTATTAATATGGATCCCTTTAAAAGATTTGGCCAGGGTGATTCTGCCCATCCCACGGGCCATGTGCTTTTTCATTCTAACAAAGTTAAAGTTAACACTGTTAAAATTTGCTTCAGCAATGACCTATTAATCAGAGAAGCAATACCTAAGTCTCCGTAAATGTTCAACTAAACAGCTGAGACCTCATCACACAAAACCCATCTGCAAACATAATTATCCATAACTAGTATAAAAGAAAACTTTTCCCCTGAGAAAACTCTAAGGTTCTTTCTAGTTTAGTGTTCTGTGGTCTTTGTCAGTGAACAATATACATGTAAAAAGTGGGTCAAATAAGAAAGCCAACTGTGTTTTCGGGTGTGCGTCAGCTCAAGACCCTAGCTTGCTAGAGACTGGGGAACTTAAAACAAGAGATAGCTTGCCTTCCAAGGGTAGTGACAGAGAAAGCTCAGGCCCTGTGACCTATGGAAGGGGAGATAAGACAGCTTAGTTGGTAGCTGTGAGAACTGAAAATAAGGACTTCCCAGGGCTCCAGTCTGGCGGTCACTATCAGGCCCCTTCATATGATGTTAATCATGATAATCTTGTAACAGAAGGACAAGCAATTTCTGTGGACGGACTTCCAAAACTTTCTAGGTTAAAATCTTTAGCTGCCCTCAGAAGCAGGCCAAGAGCCAGACCCTTCCTGGAGTACGGCTGCAGTAGAATAGATACCACAGGTTTCTCTCTCCGCAGCCTGCCCCCTGCTTTTATTCTTTTATCTTTCAGTGTGAAATTTTCCTTCAGATTAGTCTGCAATTCCTGTGGTGCTGCCCAGCGACCACCTACTTATCCCCATGCTCTACCATTTGGTTTCTGCTTTGTTTCTCCTTGAGAATCTCCCAGTCAAGGCTCCCCCCAGCCACCGCCTCCTCGGGCTCCTTCTCAATGCCTCTCCTCTGCCTCCATGAAGCACTGAATAGTTGACCACCGTGCCTTGAAACGAGGTCTGGCCTCCATTTCCAAGACTGCTTCTCTCCCGAAGTGCAGATGGATAAGGAAATTGGGGTTCTTTTTTCTCGCTTTCCCTTAGAGCGCTGATTTGTCCTCTTGTCTTCCCTTGTATCACTACCCGTGAGGGAGTCTTTCCATATTTATTTCTGCCTTCACATTCATCTTATTGTCCAGCTCATGCCCACAACAGCCGAAGGACACCTCTCCTCTGCCTGGGCTGCATCCATCATTGTGGATTCCCACTATCTTGGCTACAGGTGTCTGTCCTCTCGACCTCCAAGGCTTCTCTGTCTTTTAAAGTTCAGGCCCGGTTTTCTCTAGGTACCCAGAATTCTTAACACTCCTTCTATCTCTCTCTCTGTAGCATTTTCTTCTCCCTACTCTCAATAGTCAACAGTATGTCTTAATAGCTACTCTCTTGAGTTTTTTATTTATGTGACTCATTAATTTTCTCCTTGTAATATTCAGGATATGTGACTCATAAATTTAGATATATGACTCATTAATTTTCTCCTTGTAATATTCAGATCCTTTATATTCTCTTTTCTTGTCCAATTGTGTGTGTCAGTGTCTCCAAAACCATAAGTCAGCCATGTTGGTCACATGGCTTAACCACTAGGTCACAGAGCCAGGCCCTGATAAATTTTTGCATTATATATGGAAATGATACTACTTAGATTGTCTGCCATTTATGGAGCTAGTTTTTGTAATTAAGAAAACCATCTTTTTTCTATAGTGTTTAATTTTTTATTATCGTGTATTTGAACATAGTATGTCATTAGATTATTTCATTTTTTTCTATATGTGGATATTTTCTTATTCTCATTTCTTATTTTATATACTGGTTCTTATTCCTTATTTTCTTCATTAAATCACTTTGGCAGTGACAGTTTATCTTGGAAAAGAGAAACCATTCTAGGTATTTCAAGTAGGAATTTATTTAATACGTAAGATTAGTTGCTTACAAAGATTTAAGGAGTAAGGTCAGACACAGATCCCTGTAGTTCTCAAATTCCCTTTGGATTTAAAAAAAAAAATCAGAAAATGCTAGAACATTCTAGAAATCACTGCTGTTGGTTAGCGCTAAGCCAAGACTGGAACAAGGGATTCCCAGAAAAACATCCGCGCTGCAGAGACATGATAATAGGGCTGCTCACTCTCTCCTGCCTCCAGTTCTAGGCCTACTCCCCCTCATTGGTAGGATCTAGTTGAAAGCCTCATAGAAAAGGGACTTGGAAAATCCGGTCTCTAACAGTAACTTCCAGCCCCTGTTATACAGGGGAGAGTACGCCAGAAGGGAGCACACAGAGCTGTATTTCCTTCTGTTCACTTCGTAATGTACCAGCCTCTGTTTCTAATGTATTGACTTTTGTTTGTATATCAATCCCTTCCCTCTCTTTCCTTGCTCCTTTTCCCTAACATCCTAATTAGTTATTTTGTTCATTTATTTCAATCCTTACTTTTTATCAACATAAATATTTATGACCGTTAGGGTCTTTACAATGGTTTCTTCTCCAAATATTTATGACTGTTAGGGTCATAATAATGGTTTATTCCCCAAAGTTCATGTTTCGAAATTTGGTCTCATGGGAAAGGTATTCCAGAACTCTCTGAAAATATCAAACTTTGCAGATGCTCCAGTCGTTTACATAAAATGGCATATTTTTGTATAACCTGTGCATAGCCCTCATATTTTAAACCATCGCTTGACTGCTTTCTCCCATACCCACAGCCAGTTCTCCAGCTCTCTCTCTCTGCCCCTTCTGGTCAAATTAAAAAATAAGTAAATAAATAAAAAGTTAAATAGAATAGTTCTTTGAAAAACACACGTATAATAAATTTGCTGTCTCAGCCCTCTGTGTGGACAGGTAGGGGCGTTGCTCCTCTCCCTGTTACCATATAACCTTCAGTAGCAGCTGCCTCCTGAGCCCTCCCATGGCTCAGGGAAACTGTGCCCATTAAACACCACCCCACCCTCTTCCCACCCTCGCAACTGCCGTTCTACGTTCTGTCTCCATGGGCTGGATCACCTCACAGAAGTCTTGGTTTCTTTGGGGTAAATTTAATGAAATGAAATATTGAACACATGTAGGGATGTTCACAAAGACTTAAACAGCACATGGGGAGTAGATGGAGGCTGAGAACCCAACCAACCTTGGTTTCCATTGCTCCCATTCAGTGTCACCCTGCGTGATGACTGTGAAAATGAAGAGCATTCAGACTGCGCACGGCAGTATTTAGCTCTGCGACTTACCTGTGATAACCGGCTTGTCACTGTCTCTGTGCTGGTGTACGTGTTTATTACTATTGCCACTCTCAGATGGAAATGAGACAGACGTTTCATTTTGCTTGTCATCATTTTTGTGTTTGAGAAACGACTGGTGTTTCCAGCTATAGCCACAGTAGGAAAGAACGCTCATGTTCCATCAAATGCAAAATGCATACATTGCAGGGCATGTTGATTTTGAAGGTGTTAAAATGTTGGCAGAGAAAATGTGCATCTTAGTATTGATAAAATCCGCTGGTGGAAAGTCGTGAAGACAGATCAGAAAGGTAGAATATTGACAGGTGATCAGTTGGCCATTAGCACCAAGATGCCCAAGTACAATTAAGACGTTTTAAAGAGACCTCACTGTTTCTCACCGCCTCTTGCCATGTGATCAGCTTGTGAGAATTCACTGCACACTTCCCCTCCCTGCAGGGCAAATGACGACAAGAGAAGGCTGCTACCGAGACCTGAGGTTTCCAGTGAACGCGTCCTTCTGCAATCCCAAGACCCGACCTGCCACAGGACTGGTGTCTTGCAGAGTGTCTGCCTGTCCTCCCAGGTAAGCGTCCTACCCATCTGAACAGGCTGCACAGCTGAGGTGTGCTCAGGTGTCCCCAGAGCCCCCGAGCTTGACAAGGGACGTGCCAACCTCTGTCACATAATTTGTGACAGCAAAGAAGCAACCGGAACAAGAACTGCTCCACTAAAGGACCATGAAAGCATGTGTGAGTGGGAACAGTCTGGCCATCTTTGATTGTAAGTAGAAATTCTTATGCCATCCTGGTGTTCCTCTCCTTTAATCGGGATGCCGGCATGCGTGACAGCGTGCTACAGTGGGAGGGACCTATCTCTCTTAGCCTCCTGCCCCCTCCCTGCCGTTAGCTGTCCTTACTGAACAGAGCACGATGGGCAAACCCATTCGCAAGGCCAGCCTGTGCTGTCGGAGGCTCAGGATTGCCACAGCTGCCACAGACGTGTGGGTGGCAGAGGTGAGTCACCGAAAGCCGAGCCGCCCTGGTCCTGGGGCCCCCGATGGTCCTAAAGCCAAGCTCAGGCATCCGGGACAGTGGGTAGGAGGACCCCGAGAGGCAGCATGACCTGCTGTCTCATCAGCCCTCGCATCGGGAAAGCCTTGGTGTCTCTGTCCTCACCTCCTTCGTCTTCACGTGGGCTGTGAAAATCTATTGGGGGTTCAGGCTCAGGAGGACTGGGGATTCAGAACTGCTCAAGGTGATGGTGGGAGCAGGTCATGCTGCCTGACTGTCAGCCCTGCTCTGCACAGGGACGCTCACCTCCAGACGCTGCCCAGATGCCCCACCTAGCAATGCCCTGTCCTCATCTCCTTCGTCTTCACGTGGGCTCTGAAAATCCACTGGGCGTTCCGCTCGGGAGGACTGGGGATTCAGAACTGCTCAAGGTGATGGTGGGAGCAGGTCATGCTGCCTGACTGTCAGCCCTGCTCTGCACAGGGACGCTCACCTCCAGACGCTGCCCAGATGCCCCACCTAGCAATGCCCTTGTCCCAACTCTGTGGTCTGACCGTAAGCACCACGGGGCTCAGGTCTGAGCTAGTAGTTGGGACACCTGAGGAGGCCTGAGTGTGCAGACCCTACAGGATCAGGCCAGGTGGTGGGAGAGCCTGGAAGCCCAAGAGAACAGAGAAAAGCAGCTGGCACCGGTAGGAGGCCTCAGCCCCCCTGGGGATCGGGTGCGACTGCCTCCTTCATTCTTACAGCGAGCAGAGCAGTCTGCTTAAATGGTGGTTTCACAGAGCTGCTGTCTGATGGTTTGCTTGTGTTGCTTTCTTTCTTCCCACCTCTGTCCCACCGATGCTGCCTCACAGACGCAGCATCCTGGGAGGTTTTGTGCTTGAGGAACCTGAGGACATGGGAAGGGTCCCCAGTGGGGCAAGCTTTCCTTCCCCAGGGCATCCTCTTCACCATGGAGCCCCGACGCCCTTCTTTGAGCTGTGCTGCCCAGTGTTCAGGGACGCTCTCGAGGGCTTGCTGCTCCTGTGTTGCCTGGCCCCACTTTCAGTCATCAAAGCGTTGCTTCCCACACGATTTCAATCAAGGAAATCTCATAAGCAGCCTAGCCACTGTGGCGCAGGGGGAGCGTGCGGCTCTGCAAGTGGATACCGTGTGGCCAACGGCAGGATCGGTTCTCATCATCAGCCTTAGAACATGCCATGCACACGTCAGGACCCCCTGGGTCCTGGGGAGCTGGAGAGCTGGGGAGGGGAGTCACAGTGTGATCAGACCCTGTCGAGGCTACTTCCTTCTCTGTCTCTGTCCCTCTCTCTGTCGCATGTGCATGCACACTCTATCAGAAAGAAGGAAGGAGAGAAAGAAATCTAATAAACAGCACAGGGTCAGGCAAAAGTGACCACCCCGCCACGTCGCCATGACTTTCCACCACTGGCCTTGGCCATCCGCGTCATCTCCTGTACCCACTTAGGCTGGTCTTTGTTCCTGGTGCAAAATTTTCCTATTTGTGATGCAGGGAAATCTCTGGAATCAGACCTTTGTTTTATTTCCTGCCACCTCAAGGGAGAGAATTCTGTCTGGCACACGAGAGCCTTTGATCAGCACTCTTAGAACGCTAATGGACCATGTCCCTTAAGGCCAAGTGCAGAGCTCTAGGCTGTGGGGCGGCCTTGGGAAAGTGGCTCGGCGTCCTGGTGCCTCAGTCTGCCCAGCTGCGAGATGGTGGAGCCATAGCCTATGCTGCCAGTCGCTGTGACCAGGCAGCCGTGTGACTCCGCTCTCCCTTGGTGAAGTTTTGTACAGGAGCCATATAGGTCCTTTGGCTGCCATTCAGAAACGAGGCCGTACTCAGGCACCACAGATCTCCTTGACCCAGCTGTTCCTTCATTTTCTAAGCCTGTTTTGTATTTTTCACGTATCTCTATGCACACCATCTGGCTCAAGCCCGCCTCCCTCAAGCACTGCCCGCTGGAGGGCCTCAGGGGTGCTGCTGCTCCTGACTGGCAGGATTGCAGACGAAGGCCT